AAGGCTTGAAAAACCCTGGCCAGCAGGACTGGCTCCTGGCCCTGGGTCAGTGGGGCTGGCCTAGAGCCTTCAAGAGGTGGGACCCGGTGAGGGGAGGCCCCGCACCGAGGCCCCTCTCTTTGCCCACACATGCTGAAGCCCTGTGGGCAGTCAGCAGCCTTGCTGAGGACAGTACAGGCAGATAGCCAGGTTGACCCTTGGAGCTGCAAAGCCAAGGACAATTCTTGGGAAGCAGCCTCAAGCTGGCCAGGCCTGGGCTGGATGGCTGAGGGGGCCGTGGCTGGGTCAGCCATCCGCGTCAGGCCTATTCATAACCTGGCTGCCGCTCCTAAGGCTGCAGCAAGTCAGATTTTGGCTGTGAGTCACTTGGGGGCCTCTCTGGTGTCTCCCGAGGAGGGAAGTGGGGGAGGGGTTCTCTGTTTCCCCACTGTCCTCAGAGACTCAACTTCGTACGTATTCTCTAGCCTCATGTCCCTCTCCTGGGCCTTTGCAGCCTGGAGGGACCCAAAGGCTCGGCTGTTTGCTCTGGACTTGGGTCTAAGGTCTCCCGTGGGCATTTGACCCCATTGGAGCTGAAATATCCCTTCTTGGTTCTTTGGATATCAAAGTTCCTTCCATGTGAGCCCCTGTCCGAGGCTGAGGTCTCAGTCAGTGTTGGCCTGGCAGGGGTTTAGTAACCGGCTCCTTGGATAAACCCAGACCAAACCAGTTGCCTTGGAGTTGACTCCAGCTCATGGTGGCCCCATGTGGGTCAGAGTAGAAATGTGCTCCAGAGAGTTTGCAGTGGCTGATGTTTCAGAAGATCATCAGACCTTTCTTCTGAGGTGCCCCTGGAGGGACTTGAACCTCCAACCTTTCGGTTAGCAGCCGAGCACATTACCCATCTGTGCCACCCAGGGACTCCAGATACCTGAATAAAAGCTCCGATTTGTCCCGTTTGCCAATTTCTATGGTGTAAACACTCCCATGGCTGATTTCAAGTTATGACTGTGGTATCACGGAATGCAGAGTGGGAAAGAGATGCGTGTGATGGGCTCTCGAGAGGTGAGGAGAGTGGTTGCAGTACAGCTCTTGTCCTGCCAGGTCCCTGCCTCAGCAGCTTCCAAAGGGCAGGCGCCCATGTGGGAGGGAGGTGAGATCACCTCAAAACTGCCTAAGCCATCTTTTTATGGATACCAAAACAAAAAACAGAACCCACTGCCACTGAGTCGATTCTGACTCATAATGACGCTGTAGTACAGAGTAGGGCTGCCTCCATACGGTTTCTAACGGAAGCAGACTGTCTCATCTTTCTCGTACAGAACAGCTAGTGGATTCAAACCACTGGCCTTGTGGTTAGCAGCCCAGTGCCTTACTCACTGCTCTGCCAGAGACAACAAAGCCTTAGAAAAATCTTGGGCAATGACTGCTCTGACCACCAGAGCCAGGGGTAGGGGCATCACCCAGGAAGGGGCTGGGGCGGTCACTGAATGACTCAGCTGAGGGCAGGACAGCCCAGCGCCAGAATCTAGAAGTGTCAAAGGAAAAAAAGGAAGACTCATTCTCTCCTCTCAAAACCACTCCTGGAAGAGCTTGGTGAATTTCTTCACACTATGGGAGCTCTGGTGGCATAGTGTCTAAGGCATTTGACTGCTGACCAGAAGGCTGGGGATTCAAACCCACCAGCCACTCCTCAGAAGGAAGATTTGGCAATCTACTTCCATAGTGATACTGCCTTGGAAACCCAAGGAAGGGTCACTATGAGTCCGGTCCGACTTGCTGGCAAATAACAACAACAATTCCTAAAATGAAACATTATTCAGCAATGAAAAAGGAATTAATTTCTGATACATGCTATGGCATAAACGAGCCTGGAAAATCTGAGTGAAGTAAGTTGGATGAAAAATGACATATTATATGATTCCATTTTTATGAAATTTCCAGAAAAAGGCAAATGTCCAAAAAGTAAGAGAAGTGGTTGCCTTCAGCTGAGGGTGGGGTTGACCAGTGACTGCAGATGGGCACGAAGACTCATCTTTGGGTGACAGGAATGTTCTAAAATTGGAATGTGGTGATGGTTGCCCAACTCTGTAAATTTAGTAAAAATAATCACTTAAAATGGGTGACTCTTATGGCATGTAAGTTATACCTCCCTAAAGCCATTTAAAAACATTGTTTCCCAAACAACTGTTTCAATGGTTTCTTAATATTTCTTCTAGTGGCTTTGCTCTCAATAAGTCAACATTCTCCAGTGGTGTGTCTTCCTCCCTGATGCTGCAACAATTCAGGGATGACATAAGCTGGTTGAGGATTACTTCCTTAAACTTGTTCTTCAGAAGAGGGCTTTCTAGGTCAAAAGCAATGGATGTTTTTAAGCTTCTCAATATAATGACTCAATCGTTTCCCCAAAGCATTGGGTCAATTAAGAGCCACCATTTCTTGCCCTTACCTAATCTGCATGGACAAACTAAGGAGCAACAGACGAAGAACCAAAGACGCCCCAGAACCACTATTTTAATTGGAAGTCAGAGTGGTGGCACTTACGGGGTTCCAGGGAGTTCTGGGGGGTCCCAGGGGGGTCCCAGGGGGCTTGTTATTGTTACTTGCTGTTGAGTTGGCTCCAACTCATGGTGACCCCACATACAAGAGAATAAAACGTTGCCTGGTCCTGTGCCATTGTCATGGTCATTGGTATGCTCAACTCCATTGCTGTGGCCACTGTGTATTTTGAGTGTCTTCCAACTTCCAGCACTATGTTGTTGTGTTGTTGTTATGTGCCGTCGAGTCAGACCCAACTCATAGTGACCCCTCCTTGGGTTTCCGAGGCAATATCACTGTGGAAGTAGATTGGCCAACCTTCCTTCCGAGGAATGGCTAGTGGGTTTGAACCGCCAGCCTTCTGGTTAGCAGTCAAGTGCCTTAGGCACTATGCCACTGGACAATATTCTGGTGTGATCCATAGGACAGTTTCATTGCCTGATTTTCAGAATTGATTGCCAGGCTTTCCTTCCTGGTCTTCCTTCATCTGGAAACTCTGCTACAACCTGTCCACCATGAGTGACCCTGCTGGTATTTGAAAAACTGGTGCCATTGCTTCCAACACCATAGCAACACCCAAGCCACCACAGAACGGCAGACTGACAGATGGGTGGTGGAGGGGGGTCTTCAGGAGCTGGGAATGTTCTATTTATATTCTGAATGGGGCATAAATTATATAAAGTAAAATGTTCGATTTTTTTTTTTAAATTTTGTTTTTATTGTGCTTTGGGTGCAAATATATGGAGTAGAATTTGTTTTACATTCAACAGTTCGTGTACATTTGGTTTTACTCCCCGATTACCATCCCCAGCCCTAACCCACTCTCCTCATCTCCCTCCCCTGTAACCCCATCCCCACCCCCACCCCATACCCTTCTTAACTATGTGCTCCTGTCTGTCCAGCCTTCCCTCCATGTGAATGCTGCCCCTCTGGTGCCCCATGGCTGGTTGCTCCAAGGGGTGTATCTGCATAGGGTAGGTGGGTGCATCACCCTGGGTTGGGTGTTCTGCATGTAAGTCTTACTGCTGTTGGGAGTGAGTCTTATCCCAGGCTCGACATGTATCTTGATTGTACAGCTGGATGAATCCTTACATACAATACACCTGTGTAACCATCACCCAGATCAAAATGTAGACATTACCGCCACCCCAGAATGTTCTGTTGTGCCCCTTCCAACCAGACCTAATAGCCCCTCTGACCCCCATCACCATGGATTATATTTGCTTGTTCTTGAATGTCATTAGAACCATCTTTCATTATTATTATTATTTTTTTAAATTGTGATATGGGTGAAAGTGTGCAGAGCAATTTCATTTTCCATACAGTAGTCCATACATGTTTTGTTTCATGACATTGAGTGCAATTCGCCACAGTGTAACAGCTCTCTTCCCACTTCCTCCCCATAGTTACCTCTTCCCTGTGTCCTTCTTTCCTATGCATTCCTGCCCGCCCCCCAAGCAAATACTGCCTTCTGATCTCCCATGGTTGATTGTTCTAAGGAGTATCTACCTGGTGTAAATGTTCACCTTATACCCTGTCTATTGTTTGGAGTGAGCTCAATTCCAAGCCTGAATGGTCACTAGGGGCCATAGTCTCAGTGGTTTCACTAGGCTCTATCACACTAGGAAGGCTAGTCTTTTTTTTTTTTAAATAATTTTATGTTGTTGGAAAAGTTAAGGACCTCTGGTGGTATTGTGGGTAAGGCATTTGGCTGCTAACCAGAAGGTTGGTGGTTCAAACCCACCAGCTGCTCTGTGGGAGGAGGATGAAACAATCTACTTCTGTAAAGATTTACAGCCTTAGAAACCCAATGGGGGTCTCTATGAGTTGGAATCGACTTGATGACAGTGGGTTTGGTTTTAGTGGAAAGCTTAAGCGCTCGGTTGCTAACTGAAAGGTTGGTGGTTCTGACCCACCAGTGACTCCACTGGAGAAAGAGCTGGCTATCTGCTCCCATAAGGATTGCAACCTTGGAAACCTACCGGGGAAGTTCTACTTGGTCACATGGGCTCATTATGAGCCAAAAATCAACTCCACTGCATCCAATGGCAGCAACACTCTTTTGGTAAGAGTGGCTGGTCACTGAGCTGTACACAGGATTATGTACTGTCCTAATTGTATGTAATACCCCACAAGAACGTTGAAGAAAAGATGTAGGGCCGAGGGGACAAGGATGCTGGGGCATTGTCCCCTCCGCACCAGCGGCCTGCCCACTGACAGTTCCACTGGGCGGGAGGAAATGACAGTGAGCTGTGGCCAGCTGTGCCTGCTCCCCCATGTGGTCTGGGTCTGTGGCGTTGGTGGGGGTGGGAGCTGCGCTGTGCACATGACCTAACCATGTCTCTCTCTTCTCTCCCCCCTGTCTCGTGTGTCAGTCCTGTGTCCAGCATCTCGTGGGCTCCATGTGTCTGTAGAGCCTCATTCCGTGCTGTCTGGCAGGGAGCACCTTCTCACCTCATCTCACGGCCTGGCACTGCCTCAGCATGGCCATCTCATCACGCCTCGCCCTGTGGGAGCAGAAGGGAAGTGACACTCGGGGCTGGGGCTGCAGCCACAGGGTCCTTGGAGGACAAGTCACAGCTGGGCGGCCCCTGCAGCAGGGAAGCTGATATTTCTAGTGCCCCCTGTGGCATGTCCAGTCCCACATGCCGTCTCCTCAGAGCCAGCTTGGTTAGCCATGCCCTTGACTGCTCCTATGGCTTCCTGGGGGCCTGCCTTGCTTTCCTTTTCCTCCGTCGGTGGTGAGGAAAAGAGAGTAGGTGGCCGTCCCATCTCGGTCCCCATGGCAGCTCTGATGAACACTCGGGTCTGTGTGGGAGGAGGTGGGGGTGGGGCAGGCAGAGCTCTTGGCCGCCATGTTTATCATCTGGGGAAGGGTCTCCATTGTCCCTGCTTTCTGTCACCATGGAGACCTGGAAAGCAGTTGTTCTCCTCAGTTACTACTCTTTCCCTTTTGTATTTCTCACAAGAGAACATGACAGTCAGCCTCTTTCTTTGAAGCCAGCTACCTCTTCAGTCCCTTTTGCCCACCCCACCCCCCAGCCTGTGTATCACTTGATGAGTTGGAGGCGGCAGACCGGGTGGGTGAAAAGCTTCTTCCTTGCTGCCTCTTGGCTGCCCCTGTACCTCCGAGACTTGTCTGAGTGTAGGATCGAGGATAGTTTTGAAAGAAGCACATGGTGACATCTACAGAGTGTGTCTTAAAACTGTTTCACTGATGGGGTGGGATTCAGTCCACATTGGGAAGCAGAGACCAGTTTGCGCCAACTCATGGTGACCCCATGCATGTCAGAGCGGAACTGCACTCCACAGGATTTTCAGTGGCTGATTTTTCAGAAGTAGGTCACCAGGCCTTTCTTCTGAGGGGCCTTTGGGTAGACTAGAACTTCCACCCTTTTGGTTAGCAGCTGAGCATGTTAACCATCTGCAACACCCAGGGACTTCTGGCAAGGAAGAAATGTGGTGTCAGTGGGAGCCCAGAACTGCATATCCCCAAGCGTCTCTGGCCCCAGGCAGAGGACTGCCTCACTCTGCCTTATTCCACAGGCTCTGCCTTACCTCCTGGTCTTTCCTATCTCCTTTGAATTCCCCTTTTATCGGCTGGGCTGCAAAGATCAAGTCTGCCAGCCACACACACACAGGACCTTGATAAGGAGGTTATTTTAAGCCAATGCGTAGCTCTTCCATATAAGGCATTGGTGTGGTCAATTTCTCAGGCAGTCATAGTGATGCTGCTTGAGGAGACACTCCATCGTCCATAGCTGGTGCCATGCCTCAGTCTCCTAGGTCGCTGTGGCAAATGATGGGGCCTGAGCCCCAGCCAAGTCCAATCAGCTCTGGCCTGGGCTGTGTTTCTGGAAATAAATTCCTGGTACTAGTGTTGTAGGTCCCAGTGTTGGGGAGCCCTCTGCTGCCCAGGTCCTGGTTTAAAGACCATTGAAGAAGCCATAGCACTAGGCCAGCTGAGTGGGCTGAGCCACAGGGTTCCATCCTTACATAAACGTGGCTGGAAGACCTTCCCGACCTTACCATGTGCCTGGGCCACAGTAACTGATCAATAAATGTCAGCTGCCATTAGTTCCATTGTATTAACTCTTGTTGTTAGTTGTCATTGAGCAGATTCTAACTCATTGTGATCCTGTGTGTGTGCAGAGTAGAACCACTCCATGGTGTACCCAAGGCTGCGACCTTTCAGAAGGAAATTACCAGACCTGTCATCTGACGGGCCTCTGAATGGGTTTGAACCACCAACCTTTCAGCTAAAAGACAAGCACTTAACCCTAGTAACTAAGAAAAAAAAAAAAAAAAAAAAAGCCAGTTGCCAATGAGTCACTTCTGATTCATGATGACCCTGGATAGTGCAAGTTGTTAAAGCACTCAGTGACTAACCAAAATGTCAATGGTTCAAATCTACCAAGTGGTACCTCAGAAGAAAGGTCTGGCAATCCACTTATGAAAAATCAGCCATTGAAAATCCTATGAAGTATGTTCTGCTCTCACACGCATATGGTTGCCATGACTACTAACTCTAGTTCTATGATGTTAACTCTTGGAGCCGTTTGCTACAAGCTAAGGAGGGCGAGTATGGCTGGTTCCCTAGATCCATCCTGTCTGGGAACCAGAAGAGCTCCTTTGGGGGCAGGTCCTCCCCGAGGTGGGGTCTGTCCCATGCCAACGAGGGAACCAGCGCCACTGATGGTCCAAATTCACGTCACAAGGAGACTTGGTCTAGGTGCAAGCGCACTGACTGGCATAGCCCGCTGCTCATGCATTCCATCCTCATGCACTGTCTCAGGCCTCCTGGAGGCCTCCCAGGCCTCACTCGCGTTGTCATGCCTCTCATGCCTGGGCTTGGTCATGTGTGTCCTTCTCAGTCCCCTCCCAGGCTCCGTCACCAACTCTTTAGGGCAACTCACCTCCATGGGTTCACTCACTGAGCTTTCTCCTTCCTTGCTTCTGCAAAACAGATTCGGGAAGAGGACAAGAGCCCGCCACCGTCCTCGCCCCCACCCCTTTTCTCTGTCATCCCAGGGGGCTTCATTAGGCAGCTGGTCCGGGAGACTGAGAAAGAGTCCAAGGAAGCAAGACGGAAGAAAGAGGCAGCACTTGCCTCTCCAGAACAAGAGGTAAGTGGCCCCACTGGAAGTGGACCAGGTGTCTTTTGATTCCTACCAGTCTCTTCCTTGAGCCTCCTCTGAGTAACTCCTGTTTTTGTAGTTATATGAGCTTTCAAACCATCCTGCCTCTGCTCTGGCTGTCCTTGCCTTGAGGAATGCCCTTTCCCTGACCTTATCTATTGAGCTCCTATGCATCCTTCAAAACCCAGCTCAAATTGCACGTTCTGGAAGAGTTCTCTCATTGCCCTTCTTCTGATTCGCACCACACCCTCTATGCTTGTCTTAACTGTCGTCTGTATAGTAATGATTTGATCACATGACTTGTTTGATGTGGAATTCCTTAGGAGCAACAATTCCAGTTCTTATTCAAATCTGTGTCTCGAGCAGCTGTCATAGTACCTAGCCTATAGTGAGTGCCCAACAAATGTTTGTTTAAAGAATGAGTGATGCTAGCTGAGATATGATGGGTGGGGATCATTTTACCCCTTATGGCTGAAAAAAAAGAAGCCTAGATACTGGCTAAGGATGAATAGTTAGTTCACTGTAACCAGAAAGACATTCATTTGTACTCACCAGTATAGCTGTATTGGTTACTGAAATATTGAAGCCTTTTCATACCAGGAGTAACTGGCTGTTCTGGTCCTCTAGTGCCATTCTAACAGAAATACCACAGTGGATGGCTTGAACAAACAGGAATTATTGGCCCTTCCCCAGGTAGTTTTGGAGGCTAGAAGTCTGAGTTCAAAGTGCCAGCTCTAGAGGCTGGGTGAAGGCCCCTCAACCTTGGGTTTCAGCTCTGCCTTCTGCTCCCAGCCCACTGGAGCTGGAAGCTTCTCTTAACTCAGGCAGCTGCTGGCTGCTGAGGCTGATAAACCCAAGGTCAACAAGTGAAAAGGCCACAGTCCCAAAATTACCAAACAACACAGCAGGCCACTAGTTCAAGTTCAGAGACAATCCCAAGATCGACAGGAGACATGGCTGGCTGTTGACTGGAGACTCGGCTACCTGCAGGGTCCAAGCATGCCAAAGAGCTCAGAGACCTTTCTCAAAGTTATCTCCTTATAGATTGCAAGCAGACCACATCCCTAAGGCACTCCAGTAGATTCCACCATGGAGTTGATTACCAGCCTCGTCATGGGGAATCACTACATCCAGCTGCCTGGCCATTCAACCAGGCCCAGCCAAATTGACACACAACCTTAACTACCCACTGGCTATGGCCTTGAGTTCCCCAAGTGCCTTCCAACTGCCATGCTTACCCAGGTCCCTCCCCTGACCCCCACAGAATGTGTCTAACCCAGTGACTGCAAGGTCCATGCTTGGCATAGGTTGGGAACTCCATGCTCCAGTTGACATCTCTTTTGCTTGTTTAGTGCCCCCTAAAAGCCCTTAACTGTTTTGAAAAGCACTGCTGGATTGAAACAATAGTTGGCTAAGACTTGTCCCTGGTGGTGACCAGTGCTTTCTCCCTCCTATTCCCCGGCTCCTTAGCCAGGGAACATGCAGAGATAGATGTCTCTACATCAGGGAGACCAACTTGAAGTGCAGTGCACCTAGGGAGTATCACTGCGTGTGTTAGGCAGGAAGGGCATCTCCTTATGTCTCTGCAGTGCCCCCTTGAGGTGGGATGAATGTTGCAGTGATTGGGCTGTGAGGTCCGCTGGCCTCAGAGCCTGCTGTTGAGTTGAGCCATATGGCCACCCTGGCTCCTCCTCCCTGGGCCCCCTCAGCTGTTGTTTGCCTGGCTAGTCCCACAGGTCCCTGCACCTGTTCCATGACAATAACTTTGCTGCTTGAGAGAAGACCTCCAGCAGCTGAGCAACAGCTGCTGCTGAAACACCCCCGCCAAGTCTTTGTGGGTGAGGATGGCAGCAATAGGCTCTGTCTCCACCCCTGCCTGCCCTTAGGCATACACAGGGGCCAAAGGTGACCTCAGTAGGGCTGTCCTTAAGTCATGATGAAGTTTTACTGTGTGGGTTTATCACTAGTGAGCACTCACTTTGCTGTAGGTAGACTCATCTGCTATCCTGTGAAGCAGCAGGGTGGATGGGATGATACCCACTTACCAGAGGTGGAAACTGAGGCCCAGAGAGCTCAAATGACTTGTTAAGGTAATGAAGCCAGGTTGAGGCACAGGCAGGGTGAGATCTGTGTGCTGCTCTCTGGGGCTGCGTGGGGAAGGGCCAGTCTGGTGAGTGAGTGAGGTGGCTGGTGTGGTGGCCACAGAGGGCCAAGGAGGAAAAGGTCCCATGAAGCTGCTGGCTCTGCTGGTGTCTCTGTGCACAGGCTAAGAAGCAGATCTGATCAGAAGATGGGGACAAACAGTCACGCTGGTCCTGGACAGAGACCCAAAAAGTGGGATGGACAGGCCTCGGGCTACAACAGGTGGCTGGACCCTGGGCCAAGATGGCCCCTGGGCTGAGAGCAGGGCAGTCTCAGGACATGTTCTTGAGACACAGCAAGCTCTGGCTGGTCTCGCCAACTTCATTCTCTTGCCTTGATCAGTAAATAAGTCTGTACCCTCTCTTCTTGTCTCAGCATAAACTGTTTCATCTGATCCTCATACAATCCTTGGAAGGAGGCTTTATAGTTCATCTGCATTTTGCAGGAAAGAAAATGAGGCTGGAGGAGGTGTCCTGATTTTGCCTAAGGCCACCCAGCTGGCGAGGGGCAGGGAGAGGCTGGATACCACTTGTTGTCATAATACTTGTTACTGGATAACTCTTTCTAGAGATCTGTATCACACGTCAGATGACTTGGCTTCTAGTTCTGGCCCACCACTCCATGAGGTCCAAATCCCACCTACTCTCTTGCTCTCAGTTTGCTTATCTGTAAAATGGATGTGCTCTGAGTTTCCTCTGGGACCCTGTGATACTAAGGGTACTGCTTTCCCACATGCTAAGAAGGATGCAGAGGGGAAAACAGGCTTGGGGGACTGTGGAAGTCTGAAGGAAGAGGATTTGTCAGAGAATGGGGTTCCTGCTTTTGCTTGGCCCATCCTCATGCTGCTGTCTCCTCCGTGGTGGGTGGTTAAAAAGAAGGCACTGACTCACTTACAAGATGGTGTAGACAGTGGTGAGATTTGCCAAGTATATCGATCCCCTTTCCAAGACTGTATCCTGCCTGGACCCAGATGGTCAGACGGAGCCACTTGCCATGGATGCTGGAGCGATGGCTCTTGGATGTGACTGCAGACTGGAATCACTGACCTTTTTGGTGGGCAACCAAGCTCTTAACCACTGTGCTACCAGGGCTCCTCAGGCAGTATGGGGATCAGTAGGGGAAGTAGGACTCATGGAGGGTGGGGGCTGCTCACTTAGGATGCTGAATGTCAGATGATGGTGCTGAATGATTTCCCACACAGGCTGTGAGCTGCTTCCAGAAGCTTTGAACGGGGTTAAAATGACTGGTGGCAAACTGCAGGGATGCCATTTCAGAGGCTGTGACAATAGGGCAGGTGAGAGACCTGGCTTTAGGAAAGGAGACACAGATGAGAAGCTTTTCAGGATGAAATCAACATGATTCTGAGGCCAGATTGAATGCATGAGGGTGAGAACCCCAGAATCCGAGGCCTAGGCATCTGGGAGATGAATGTGACCACTGTCCAAGATGGACCCACCTAGACTAGGGCAGGTGGGGAAGAGCACTAGGAAGGTGGGATTTCTTTCTACACACATGGAGACAAAGTCCTTTTGGACAGGCTGGTGTGAGGACAGAGGAGCGTGGAGAGCTGAAATCACAAGCAGTAAAAAGGCCCGAAGGAGGAGCAGGGTGTGGAGAGACCTCTTGAGTGTTATATGACCTGAATGTGTAGGTCTAGGAAGAGTGAAGGAGCCCCAGGACAGGGACAGGGCCTTCCCTGGGTCTAGAAGCTCCTGCTTGTTTTCACTGCAATATCCAAAGTGTTTTCCACATCTCATGCTATAAAAGATCTAGAGGGTCAGGTGGTATCTGCCTTTATTGATGGGAAGCTGAGGCTCAGAGTAGGTTGGTGGCATTGCCCATGGTCACCCAGCTGAGATTAGAACAGGTCCTTCTCTCATGATGAGTCTGAAGTCCCTTCCCCAGATCCCTTCTGGCCCAGCAGGAGCAATCAAGGCAGAAATAAGGACATGAACAGCAACAGCAGCAGCTACTATTACTGAGGGCCTACTCTATGCTGAAGGAGCTCTGGCGTGCAGTGGTTAAGGCATTTGGCTGCTAACCAAGGTCGGTGGTTTGAACCCACTACCTGCTCTGCAGAAGAAAGATGGGGAAGTCTGCGTCTGTAAATATTTACAGCCTTGGAAACCCAGTGGGGGTTGCTATGAATTGGAATCAACCTGATGACAGTGAGTTTTTTTTTTTTTTTAAACTCTGTGTTCGGCTGTTTCTGAATGTTATCATAAATCCTCATATCCATCCTACAAGGTAAGCCTTTATAAATCCTCATTTTATGGATGAGGAAACAGAGTCAGAGGAGGGAAGTAATTTACCTAAGGCCACACAGCCAATGATACAGGAGTTGAACTTGGATCTGTCAGGCTCCAAAGTTCACTCTCCATTTTGTCACATGGCCTGAAGGCACTGGACCAGGATCCAGGGTATTGCCTGGCATAGGTTGCCATCAATTTGAATCTGACTCATGGAGACCTGGTGGGTGTCAGAGGAGAACTGTGCCCCATACGTTTTTCAATAATTAATTTTTATTTATTTATTTATTTTAAGTAGATTTGCAGGCATTTCTCCTGAGGTAGCTCTGAATGGACTTGAACCACTAACCTTTTGGTTAGTGGGCAAGTGCTTACTTAACCATTTGCCTCACCTAGGGACATCATTGCCTGGCACAGTGCCTATCAAAATCCTGGAGGTGCTTGAGGATGTTTGTATGGATGAATGAATGAATGAATGAGTGATGACCCAGACAAGTCAGCAAGCAGTGAAGCATGACTGTGGTCTCTCTCTTCTAGATCCCAGAACTTTCCAACAAGCAACCCAACAGCAAGTCCAACAGTGGCACCAAATCAGGAAGCCAACAGATTACCCAAGGCCACCAGCCAAGCTCTCCGCAGGACTCAAACATTCCGAGCAAGGAGAGTGAGGGGACCGGCAGGACGGACCCTGTGCTGATGACCAGCATCAATGGCGAGAAGCCGAAAAGACCCCTCCCCTTCAAGAGAGGTGTGAGGAGGGGTGATGTGCTGTTGATGGTGGCCAGGCTGGACCCTGACTCAGCCAAACCGGAGCAGAGGACTCACCCCCAGAATTCCCCTACCTGCAAGACCCCACCTCCAACCATAGACCTTGGAGGGGAAAGGAGAGGGGAGACCCCAGGTACTCCTCCTGGTCCCCAGGCCAGCACTAAGGAGCCAGTGCCAAAGGCTAAGAAGGCCCTGACTGGGAGTCTTGAGGGTCAAGGTCAAGGAACTGTGCCACTGCCTAAAGGCGAGAAGGGTCCAGGCTCAGTGGGGAGAGGGGGCGGGGCCCCGCAGACCAAAGAACTTAAAGGGGGTGAGGGCCAGGGGACCAGGCCCCGAGCCCAAGGGCCAGGTGAAGGAGGGCAGTCGGGGACAGTGGAGGAGGGAGGAGACTCCCAAAACAAAATGGAAAAGGGGGATCCCTGCAAGGATGCAGGGGGTGAAGGGAAACAGGTTGGGGCTCAGA